ATTGTCTCGATCCATCAAACTGCCTTTCTCCTCTCTGACTCCTATGTTGTTGATAAACCATGCACAAAAGAAATGTAGAATTGGACCATTATTAGTTTTTTATTATATTTAGTGTTTGTTTTCTCTAATAAAACTCATTTAGTTGTTTTAATATTTTCCACATCATGCATAAGTGATAATTTATGCATTATAGAATTTTTACAATACACCATTTTAAAGTATCAACTGTTGTGTATGAAGAAAAATTATTGTGTACAAATCAACACTCATCATTAATAATTAACAAACTTATTTGTTTATTATATTTTTTTAACAGCAAATCTATTATACTTTTAAACTACCTTTAAATCCACCTGTATGTTGATACAACAGGACTTGAACCCTCGATTTCAAGGAGAATGACAACACCGCATATCATTGGAGCATTTCGTTAAACATATTTATATGTAAAATCATTATTTATCTATTTTGTTAGAATTGTAAATTTATTTATATAAATAATAATAATTATTATTAATATAATTTAAAAAATTGGATGCAATATTTTATGTTAAAAATCCTACAAAATACACCTAATATTGTGCCATTTTTTTTAATTATAGATTAAATTGTATATATGTTCTTAGCTTTGTTAATTGAATTTGGTTATAATTTATTCTTGTTTTTTTTTTTTTTTAATTTTATAGGGTAGTTAGCCGTCAACAAACTTTAAAACGATCTTGTTCAAGTTCGTTTGTCCAACTATAAGGTATAGTTACTTCTAAATGGTTAAAGAAATATTGGTTGTTTAGCTTAAATACTTAATTTGTTAATAAATGTTTAAATATGAGACAAGTTATTTAAAAAGTGATTTGGAGTGATAACTTACTACCAAATTTGATGTATATTTATAGTGCATGTATCCTACTAATAACTAAATTTCTTGAATTATAGATGGATCGTGATACTTCGATATATGGATTACAATGTCATGACAAATAGTACTTAATTAGGTTGAAAGATTTTATTAAAGTTGATGAGGATAATTGAGTAAATAAACGAGAAAGTCAAATTTAATGTCTTTTTAAAAAGTGTCAAATTGGTAAAATGTTTCCGGATTCAAAGTTAATAGAAGAACACCTTATATGTCATGGGTTTATGAATGGGTATACTCGTTGGTCACAACATGGTGAGTTATTAATTGTAATATTATTAATACCGAATCTAATGACGATGAGACCGATGGCTTGATGACAATTATGATCAAATAGATGATGTGTTACATGATATTCAAGATGATACTCCTGACAAAGATTTCAAAAAATTTCAACAACTGTTTGTCGATGTAGAAAAACCGTTATATGTTCGTTGCACAAAATTTACCAAACTTTCTACTATGCTAAAATTATTTAACTTAAAAGCGAATAATGATTGGAGTGATAAAATTTTCACAAATTTGCTAGAGATTTTGCATGAAATGCTTCCCAAAGATAATGAGCTACATGGTTCACTATATCAAGCGAAAAAAGTTGATGTGTTCAATGCGTTTGGAAATCGAGAGAATTCATTCATGGCTAAATGATTGCATGATTTATAAAGATCAATATGCATATTTAGATAAATATATAACATGTGGTAAATCGCAGTATAAACAAACAAATAATATGGAAGAAGACGACAATGTGAAAAAGCATGCACCCACTACTAAAGTATTGTGATATTTTCTCATCATATAAAGACTAAAATGATTATTTGCAAACGCTAAAGATGCAAAGCTGTTGCGTTGGCATTTTGAGAAGCAAAAAAAAAAAAAAAAAAAAAAAAAAAAAAAAAAAGGAGAGACATGTGGCTAATTCTCCTCAATAGAGAAATATTGATTATGAGTTTAAGGAATTTGCTGTTGAGATTAGAAATATTCGATTCAGACTTAGTACAAATGGTATTAATCCATTCGGAAACATAACTAGTCAACGTAGCATGGCTGGTGCTACTATGTATACACAATCTTCCACCATGGCTATGCATGAAGTGAAAATACATCATGATGTCATTGCTAATTCAAGGTTCGAAAACAAGCCGATACACTACAAGAAAAACAGCTTTTACGACCCGCTATGCGCGTCGTAAAACGCTCAACCGTCACACAAATGCGTGTCATGGAAAGCCCTGCCATAACGAAAGGTGACACGCTTTTGTGCGTTGCCTATTTAGGACACACGTTTATGACACTCATATACGACACGCAAGGCGTGTCAAGGAAGGCCCCGTCATAAAGGAAGACAACACGTATTTGTGTGTCGTAACCTTACGACGCGCATTTACGACTCACATTGCGTATCATTAAAGCCCCTATCAAGAAAGGTCATGTCATAAATGAAGATGACATACATTTTTGCATATCGTAATTTTAAATGTTTAAAAAAATATATTATTTATAGATTTACTAATTTCCAAATTAAATTTGCATTTAATGTCTCATAATAGAAAATAAAATATCATATACAATAAATACAATCCATTGCATAAAATTTAATGTCATACAAATAATTGTTCCATGGAAAGATAAAACAAATCAATAGAAGTTGTAATAGAAATTTACAAACTAATTAGATACAAGAAATATGAAAAACTTGAAATCCCTGAGATTAATAGTTCTAATAGAAGCTTCACATGAGATACATATAGTTGGACCAATAATCAAGGATGTTCCCGAATCCATAATAGCAACACAAGAACATGTACACGATATCTTTTGCTAGAAGGTGTCGATCCAAAACTACTATTGAAGGTTGCCATGATAGCTGTTAATATTTAAGCATAACTGGAAACCAACCAGTGACTATAATAAACTAGAAAACAAGCAACTAATAAACTAAATAAGCAACTAATTAAGTCAAACTATGACTATGTATTCCAAGTTTCCAAAGACACTAATATTTTTTTTCTTTTTCAATTATTATACTACAAAAAACTTTGTTCCTTATCTTTATATTAAATTTCTACATAATCATGAAACTTTACTAACAACCAAATTAACAAAGATAAGTAAGAAAAAGAAAGTGGGGGCATCTAACTTACCTAATGGGGCAAAGTCAAGTGAAATCAGTGATGAAGTCCCAATAACATTGCAATCTGATATACGGAAGGTAAGAAATATGCTAGCTGAATCATATTTTTGAAAGCAAAAAAAAAAAAAAAAAAAAAAAAAAAAAAAAAAAAAAAAAAACGATATTATAATATATAAAATATGTTTGAAAGATTGACTTACTAAAGTAAACTAAACTAGAAATTGTGTGGAAACAATCTTTCAATGGAGGGAAATTAGGAGATGGATTCAAATTCATAAAAGCCACTGCAGTAATATATTGTCCTGAATTTGTATAACAAACCAACTTGTTTTAGAAAAAAAATGTAAGCATACCATATAAGACCCCAAGAACTAGTAGTAATTTTACTCTATGCTTTATTATTTTAGTCACATAGGATGGGTGTAATACACATATTACATGTGCTTTTTGGTGCTTAAATTCATGGTATATTTCTATAACATAATTTATAGAAATTAAAAATGGTTTTCCTTTCCATTATTAGAAGTATGTTTACCATGGTGCTTTTCGTCCCCTTAAGGGAGAAAGCTAGAAAAGGTAAGATAAAAATACAATGAACAGAGAACCATTGTAAAAAAGATATTAAAAACCACAAAAAAAATTGTATTCTTACTCAACATTTGATGGGCTGGCAATACATGTAGGTGTGTCCATATTATCCATTGGAGCTACTAAAAGCCACTGTAAGAACTAAATACAAAATCAAGTGATATAATTTTAGCTTGTTGAAGATTGATTTTATGTTAAATATTTAGGTGCATATTATTTGCTATGCTTACCAAATTTTGATAGCAAGATGTGAAAATCATGTACAAAAGTTCCCCTACATTAAAATGCAGTGTTTCTTGTGAAGTGGACACTGGGTTACAGCTGCCTTCTAAGAATTACGCCCCCAAGTAACTCACACTTTAAATCATAAGTGCCCTACAACACACAACACACAACACACAACAGACACATTTATATATAATGGTCAAAACTTAGAGAAATGAATTAATGTGCAATAATTAAGCAAACTTGTACATATAGAAGTATATAATGAAAACAATAAATAAATAAATTATTATCATAATAACCTTAACAATTGAAGAAGAGGCACACGATTCTCTAGCCAATATCGGCTCAACTAGACCAACTTCACCTTGCCTTTTCCTCATCTTGTGCATCTCAGGTGCATGTTGCATGATTTTTGTTTAAGTTAAAAGTAAATTTGTATTACGTAATGAACAAAATATGGGATGATCACAAAATGACCAAATTTTGAAACAAAATGACCATTTGAGTCTATCAATTGCAAAATTCCAGTAAATTGAAAACAATCATATTTCACAAACACACTGCAAAGATGGCGACCTTTGGCAAAAAACTAATAATAAATAAAAACAAAAAAATAAAAAAATACTGCAAATTACTAACATCATATCAAAAAAATATATGGTTGTTATTTATTCTTTTAATTGTTTAAGGTTCTTAGGTGATCATTAACTGGAATTGGAATTTGAAGATATTAACTGGAAATGGAATGAAATTCAATTCCATTCGATTGTATATATTTGTTTGGTTTGTAAACCTGTTAAAGGATTTGGAATGAAAATAATGGCAATAACATAATTGCCCTTTGTTGATTTCTTGTTCATGAAAAAATTAAAACTATTTCTATCTAGAATATTATTTATGCATATTATCAACATGAACTTATCGTCACATGAAAAAAAAAGTCTAATATTAAACAATATAATACAAAAATTAATCATAAAATAAAGAAATCAACATACTACAATGTTAATAATAGGGTTTAGAATTGGTATTTCAACTATTTATACAAATTAGAAGGAATGGAATTAAATTCCATGAGTTTATAGAAGGCAAGTTGCATTCAGTTGTTGGATTTTATGAATTTAGATGGACTTAAACTCATTCGTCATTTCCAGCCCAATTCCATAATAGAATGGAATGGAACAACATTCCAATCCTTGTTGATTCCTAAGGAATCCAGCAAACCAAAATGCCCCTTAGATTCTATTGTATATGTGCCAATGTAATTAGGGAATTGACAGACAAACCAGTGAAACCAAATTAATTCAACAGTGCCAAGAAAACAAAAGTACCTTATCAACAGCTGAAAATATCACTTCATGAATACACACATGGATATCATCCTGCCTGCAAAACATTCATCAGATGTCAACTTATTCACTTCATAAGAAAGTTGAAAACTTTTCTACTTCCCATCACATTATGAGGAAGAGAATGTATACACAAGATATCTCATATATACAATACCTTCTAAAAGAGTCTCCATCAAGATTCTCTTTTACCTTGTGAAGAGAAGTTTTTCTGGCCTCCAATTTTAAGTCCTCAAGTTTGGAACAAGCTTCAAAATACATCTCAGGGTTCATGTCATGTGATAAATCAGGTCTCGCAGTTAGTTCTTGTTGTTCTATGTCTACTTTATTCTCAAAGTTCTATAAACTCAATTGTGGGGCCAACAACAAGCATAAACTATGAAAGATGAAGGGTATAAAAACTTCTGCTCGGTGATCTAAAATATCATTCAAACCCTATTTCAACAAATATGTTAGTATAGATATTAGAAAATTTTAAAACTCAACAGGAAATTTAATAGGATATAAGTCGAAGTCAAACCTCTAGAACAGATTGAGGAGCGAGATACGAGTTCATCCGGCAAAACCCAAGATCCATTCTTCGAAGCTTGTATCAAACTCACAAAGTTGGTTATAAAATCTAGAAAAATCAAGGAAATGGATAAAATATTCTTTAGGGCTTAAGGTTTAGTAGTAATTGTTTTTACCTATAACAGGATGCCATTAGACTAAGCAAACCGCATTCATTCATCGCTTTCAACAGGTAAGTCAGATCCCAATAGTCTTCAGCCTTTAATTGCTCTATAAGAAATGACAAGCATCTTTCCCTCAAGTCTTCATCCTCTTTTTTTCGAAATTTATGCACCTAATAATAAGAAAATAAAAAACAATAAGAACATAAGAAATATAATGAAGAACAAAAACCATGTTAAAGAGTGTTTTTGTGAAGCAATTATATATATATATATATATATATATATATATATATATATATATAATATATATATATATATATAGCTCATTAAGAAATAGAATTAGGGTTCTTATCTAGTATTATTGGACAAAGGAACCACCGCCACACACCAGCATCTCCAAAACCTTCTGCAAAAATTGAACGAAACCATACTAGATTGACGATGGTTTTTGATTCCAGATGAACCGATGGTTTAGATGTAATAAACTAAAAAGAAAGGTCAAGAGTAACCTAAAAAAAGAATACGAACCTTAGACATAGACTGGGCTGATTGACCATGGTCGATCTGGTAGCCACCAGCAACGCTGTTCCGAGTTTGCTTCTCGATTGTGACCATGTCGATTTAGTACCCACCATTTCTCCCACATTGCAGGTTGGGGAGGTTCATCATAGAGGACATAAAGAATAGAAGAAGGATTTGTGGTCCGAGGTGGGTTTGTGTGAGGATCTACCCAATGGTGGATATCCTTGCTCGGTCTACCAACAGTGTCTCAATCTCCGGTCTTCAAAAAAGAGTCGGACATACAGAGAAAGCTGAGCAGAAGTTGGAGAGCAGATGTGGAGAAGTTATCGGAACAAGCGACGAAGATGAGAAGCTGTGGGAGGATCGCACTAGAGATACATAGTTGGAGAGCAGATATGGAGAAGTGAAGTGGTGGAGGTTTGAGAATCGAGAGAGAAGAAAGAAAGAAAGGGGGTTTTCGGCGGGGACGAGCTAAGGTTTTTAGCCGGTTGAAACAAATCGGTGTTTTTAATTTTTGGGATTTCATTTCCCCCCTTGGGATGAAACGCACGTTTCATTAAAATTTATAAAACGACATGGTTACATGACACACATTTTATTTAAGGTGCCCTTGATGCTTTTTTATTAGGTATTAAATTTTAGGACACGCAAAAATACGTGTCCTAAATCCTTTAAATTTTATGAGAGATGACAATATTTTTACGTCACAAACTTTTGTGTATTATAAATCCTGGTGTGTCATAAATTTCGTGTCATTAAAGGTCTGTTTTCTAGTAGTTGTAAAGACACTGATGTGTTGTCTCCGGTAGTTGAAGACATGAAAAAACTGTGGAATTTAAGTGTTGAACTGTATGATGTGTATAAGAAGGACTATTTCCAACTACGAGCAATGATTTTTTTTTTACTATAAGTGATTTTCCAGCTTACGCAAAATTTTCAGGTTATACAACGAAAGCAAAAAAAAGCATGTTCAATTTGTGAAAATAATACACACTCATTATAATTGGAAATTTGTAAGAAAAATGTATACATGAGACACCAACGATCACTTTAAATGGATCACGAATATCATAAATAAAGAAATTTGTTTGATGGTAAAGAAGAGAATGGTAAAATGACTCAACGAAAGAACTATGTTTTCTTGGGTTCAAAATCTGAACATTGTGTTTGGAAAAGGCGTTGAAAACAATTGTCTAGATTATTGGAAAATGAGGTCAATTTTTTGGGAATTAGCATATTGAGTAAAGTTAGATGCTCGACATTGTATTGATCCTATGCATATAGTGAAAAATGTTTGTGAAATTTTGATAGGATTATTGTTGAACATTACTAGAAAACTAAACGATGGAACATACCAAATGATGGTTACAAAGCTCAGATACTTGAACATTGCAATCATGAAGATTGCGATCAACAATGGAGGAGCTACAAGTCCAAGCTTGTTAAGTTCAGGAGAAACGCATTGATCCGTTAGAATGTACCCCTACCTAGACAAAGACACGTGGAATGATTTCATAAAGCAAAAGTCCAAGCCCAAATTTAAGGTATGAAACTCTTGATAACTATTTACTAAATTATCTCCATTAGCTCAGAAAAAGTGCTACATTCAGTTTGTTATTGGTGATGTTATTTATGTTATAATGTTTGTAATTGCGTTCCACATATATGGAGGAAATAAGAGTGAAAGCAACAACAAGTGTGTTGATGAACAAGAACACGCCCATGTTAGGCCCACAAGGGTATCGTGGTATGATACCTCGATGGGAGAAAGAGATGGAGTCTATTATATTAACAAAAGACCACCATATATCAAAAGAACGTGCAAGGAATTACATATTTTCTTGGTTAAAACATGATTCCTCAAGGGAATTGAGTGTAACAACAGATATGGAAGCCTTAGAGGATAATATTGTACAATGATAATCCATTGATTTTATTGTTACTATGATTTCAACTAAAAGTTTGTTATGATATATTTGCCCTCAAGATTATGTTTTTTACATATACATGAAGAGAAAGAAAAGCCAATATCTCAAGGAGACATTGAGATTAGACCTAGAACTTATGTATTTGTTGAGGTTTTAGGACCATAGCATCCTGGTCATATGAGGGAAATTGGGTACAATGTTGGCTTGAAACAATATATACTTTAGATTAAAGAGAAAAATATGAAGAAAAAAAAACATGATATATTAGATTTGAAAGTGATGAAGGTTAAGCAAAAGAAACATGACAAATCGATTGCTAACATGGAAGATGAGATCACTACATTACGATGTGAGGTTATTAAGAATAAAGATGACACTGTTACAAGCCCAATGGTGAGAAAAATTAATTAGTCTTGAATCAGCACCAGTACTGGATGCATTAGATAAAATATCATTACATATTTTCTAACCAATGTATAACATACATAATTACTTATAGAAAGGCATTAACTACATACTACATGATGTATGTTCAGGTTCCTACAGAGTGTGAGTTGCTGCTACCTTACGACATGGTGAAAAGAAGATGTATGAAGGGACGCGTCCATCCATTTGGAAATTTGATAGTACATTCGATACCTTTGAAAAAAGATCACATGATGTCATCGCTAGATATAATCTGTGGTGATTATCATTTTCCATACTCCTGTACCGACCAATGATGTTGATAATCTAGGGCAAGCGCTTTATATTTTTATTCAGTGGCCAAGACATCTTATTCTTCTTACTAAGCTATAGATCCATATCCTTTATTTCTTTCTAATATTATAGTATTACATCCCTAATTATCTTAATCACTTTCTTTGACTATCCACTAGACCTCTCACTCGCCTTAATCTATGGAAAAAGATACAAGTCCTCCCATCAAACAAGTTGTCCATGTTTTGGATGACCAAGTAATCGCTCAAAACTACTATTATTCCCTTGAAAATCTTGAAGCTTATGTAACAGTGAAATCGTTTGTTAATTTTAATGATGGTCCAATAATACCAGAAAAAGCAAGTAATCGAGCAGTTGGCAACAATTGCGAAGAAGACGTCACAAAAAATTATGTTCCAAATAAACTACAAGGTAGACCGATCATCCAATCATGGTATAGTAGTTTTACAAGCCACAAATTTGTTGAAGAATTTCATGTTGAATAAGAACGTGGTACATTAGGCATGATGTGATTTTAGAGATGTTCAATTGTAAAGAGCTTGAAATTAGCTGTATACTTTGGTATCAAATGTAAGTATATTAATTTTCATTGTATTACACTTTTACAATATTTAATTTTATAATATATTCTATTTTGTTCAGGGTTCTACATTTGATTCTTGCAACAGATTGGGTTAATGGATGCGCTTTTATAAACCCATCGTCGATCACTGAAATAGAATGTAACCATGACGAGCAAGACAAGACGAACCAACACAACAATTGTGTTGCAACTGAGATCACTGAAACAATGTTCCATCAAGAAAAAAAGATTGTTTTTCTTGTGCCAAATTGGCAAAGGTACCATGTTCTACTATATTCATTGTTATATGTTTTTTGGCTCACTAACTTTTATCCTTAGAACTTTAAACATTCTAGTTGACATTGGTTGTTGCTTGTGATTTTCCCTTATCAATACACTAGTTACATATTTTATTCAACCAAGAAGTTAGGAAATCCAACTGATTCCTACAAAGTCATAAAACATGTCGAAAAGTGTGTGTGTGCGTGTATATATATATATATATATGTGTGTGTGTGTGTGATTGTGTGTGTTTGGATGATCGTTTCTTTCTATAAATTATAACAATCTTACTTATTTTTGTTTTAGGGTTGTTGAGTTGTTTAATGAATATTTCGAAACATCAAATACAATGAAATGGACGATTGCTGATGTAATCTCTCTCTCTCTCTCTCTCTCTCTCTCTCTCTCTCTCTCTCTCTCGCTCGCTCGCTCGCTCGCTCGCTCTCTCTTAATTTAGGGATTATTAATCATTAGTGATCAGATGATGGGTCAATCGATGACATCGGTGGTCAATCGAAGCCATTTGTCGATCCAGGTTTGTCCGTTTGTACTTATTACTTACTCGAGTCTGGTCGATGTTGTTGCATCCCTACCCCTGTTCAGTCGATTTCATCGAATAATAAATTTGTATTGTGTGTATGAGTGTATCAGTCCATTTAAAATTTTTTGAAAATCTCCATAACAAAGGAGCAGGGCCTTCTTCCTTTTGAGAATCCACATATACAACATGAAGTGCAGCTAATAATCTCCGAATTGAACACACAATAAACATCCACATGCCAAACTTATATAATAATAATAATAATAATAATAATAATAATAATAATAATAATAATAATAACAATAATAATAATAATAATAAATAATGCACCTTTAAAAAGGCTTCTGTAAGAATATGAGCAACACTGGCAGACGACATGGAATGAGTTTGAATTAACCATTTGTCAAGTCAAATTTTAAATTAATTTTTGTGGTGAATGTTTATATGTTGAATTGTTGTGAGATTAATTTGTTTTGGGTAGAAAAATGGAAGAGATTGCCTCGGCGAGTGAAAAACAACATCCTTCAACACTAATTGGTTCTACAAATGTTGACGTTGAACACAATAATACAAGTCCACATGTTCCTTCCGTTGAAGAGAGATTTTAATCAAATGTGGCAAAACCTCCAAACAAAAGACAAAAAAGCATTGCCTGGGAACAATTTGTCAAAATTACTATTAACGGGAAACCGAAGGCACAATATAAAACTTGTAACGCGTTATTAGGAGCAAAATCAAAAAAATGGAACCACACATTTGTTAGTTCATATGGAGAAATGCTTAGCTAAGGGCCAAACCGATATTCAGAAAATATGTTTGGTATCGAACTTGAAAACTGAATTCTCTACATATGTCTACAATGAAAAAGATAGTAGAGATGCATTGGATAAAATGGTCATATTACACGAGTATCCTCTTTCTATTGTTGAGCGTATTGGTTTTAAGAAATTTACAAGGACCGTTCAACCTTTATTCAAATCCCTTTGTTGGAATACATTGAAAAGTGACATTAAAAATGTGTATGTGATGGAGAAAAGTAAGTTTATTCAAAATATTGAAA